ATTGTCTACAAAATGGTTTATTTACTTTTGAGTTCTGACTTTTTCAAAAATTTCTGCAAATAAAACAAAATCATAGAAAAACGTCACGGAATTACGTACGCAGGTAGAGTTAGCTGGCCAGGCCGTAGGGATCTTCCTCAGTGAATACAAACATTAATTAAATTAATTAAAATTACATAAATAAAACAATTTGAACAGAAAACTTTAACATAAGGATATTATTCCCTTTTTTATTTTTAGATAATATATACAGACCAGGGCTGGGCAACTCCGCTGACTTTCAACTCCAACTCCACTCCAACTCAACTCCGTTTTCAAATTTCCAACTCCAACTCTGCTCAAAATTTTTCAACTCCAACTCCAACTCTCTCAACAAAAATCTCAACTCCAGTTTAACTCCGATTGCTTTACTTTTATAAAGAAGATTTTTCGGTTTTTAGCAGGATTCTGGACGTTTTTGAGCTTTTTCCGGCAGGAAAGCGCAAAGGACTTCCGAATTCACTCGTGAATACAGCCACTCTATCATTTAGAAGATCAGTTTACAGCTATTGAGTATTTTCAAAAATGCAAAACGGAGTTGAGAATAAAAGTTCAAAAACCCACCTCCAGCCTACTAAGATCTCAACTCCAACTCCACCAAAAAAATCCTCTACTCCGGAGTTGGAGTTGCCCAGTCTTGATACAGACGATAATAAAAAACTGTAGTTTGACAAGCATACTATATTGATATCCTATAAAAAGAAAAGAAAAATAGGATATAAATATAGTATACTTGTCAAACTACAGTTTTTTTATTATCGTCTGTATATATTATATAAAAATAAAAAAGGGAAGAATATCCTTATATTAAAGTTTTCTGTTCAAATTGTTTTATTTATGTAATTTTAATTAATTTAATTAATGTTTGTATCCACTGAGGAAGATTGAACTATCAATTGAAACGTTTGGAATAAATAAAGTCAGTACGAATAAAAAGTACTTATTTAAAATTTAAAAAACAATTCAATATTCTAAATTTTGGTTCGAATTCTAAAATAATGAGAACTTCTCTATAAAACTGAATAGTTTCCTAAATTTTTCACCCCAACCACCAGGTTGGTACAATATAGGAAGTCGGATAAATATCATCCATCTGACCCGCATACGCCTAGGCTTCAGCTTTCTATTAGCAGACTAATATAAGCGTCACTTCGTTGCGACACCAAATTGTATTCATTGTAATAAGCCCGAAACAGCTGAGTATTACTTTTTAAAATGCCTTCACTTTGTCCATGAAAGTTCTACCTTGTTGAATAATATAAAATTAATTACCGCATTACCACAAACTACTGAACTCATTCTAAAAGGATCAATTAATTTTACCCCAGAACAAAACATCTATATCGTAAATAATGTCTACGAATACATAGCTGACACTAAAAGATTCAATTAACATTTACTTCTTGTGCTACTCTATTTGTTGTTTGTATCTAATATGTAGAGAGGAAAATTTTTTTTGTATATTACAATCCTCGATAAATAAATAAAACTGTTACGTTACATTCATAACACTAATAAACAGCTACAAGGAACAGTCTACACAATGAACTATTCGAATTACTCTGTTAAATGAAATTTAGTAAATTTGCTGTGTACCTTTTATCTCTGCAACATTCTCATCAGCCACTTTCGAACTGTAGCTCAAAAACCAAACAATCATAAACGTTGTGACATCACCAATGAGTGCATATATAACTTGCTCAACAACAGTGTCACACAGCAATCAACAATCTGATTTTTATTATCAAACATACTATTTTAATGTTCTTCAATCCACTTTCATTTATTCTAGCGTCAATTCTACTCGTTAATAATGTATTCTCCCTAGGAGAATATGGATTACAACTCGTATATCAACTAATAAAATGATATTGCAAATAATAAATGTAAAGACTGATATTAGATTCAATTAAATCATTGTCATTTATATGAAAAATCTTATCAAAATTTTATGTTGTAGTCTACAAGAATTTTATCATCATAGTACACATTTAGGGCCACTGTCGTATATAATGTTTTTGTAAGATTTCTGTAAGAATCGTATCAGATTTCCATATTTTCGATCGACTAGGGCTGCAATCAATTTATATGAAAAATAATTGATATTTCTAACAAGAAATCAAATATTAATGTGGTTTTAATCATAACTTGGATGTAGCAATGTACAAGAAAAAAATAAACATATACCTAAAGAGACTTGTAAAAAGAACAGAAGAAATCCGGAAAAGTATACATAAACTAAATAAACAATAAATACAAAAACAAATAACAGACAAAGATCTGACATTAAACACCGGTAATGTATGGAAAACGAAATAAAAGTTTTTTGATTATAAAAAGAAACGACTCTATACCAAAAATGTTTTGATTGATCGAAAAACAGCCGCGTTTACTATCAAATCGAAAATCAACTAGATGCCAACTGCGCTCTGATTGGAAGCCGACTGAGTGAAACTCGAATGAAACCAGCTAGCTTCTGCGTGTGGCAGTATAGTGGATATAACTCTTAGTAAACTGCTATATATGTTTTCTCTTTTAACAACAATAATATGTTTTGAATTTTATTCATTAATCTACATTTATCTTCTACAGTATATTATTCACATTATCGTATCAGCTGATTCATTATCCCATCCTATATTCTGCTATAGCTTTCATCATATCAAGCATTATCGTATATATCCCTATGAAGGATATCACGTGACGATTAATTATCTGATAGAAGAGACGATAGAGTTTTCTCTGTACGTCACATGCTAATTATCTTGTATTAGAAAAATTTCCCCAAATGCCAAACAGCAAATACCACTTTTTCAGAAATGATTACGCGATAAAAGTGATATCAGAAATATAATTTCGAATGTGCCACATTCAGTATAAGCACTGTCTACTAGTTTTTCTCTCAATCTTCTGTGGTTCCAAATGAGAGAGAACAGTGGGTGAAAAAATTGACCAAAAGTGTAGAGAAAAGAAAACACATAGGTTCTGGAGAAAAGCAATAAGCCGACTGGTCGTTTCGCTCAGTCGACTTAATGATTAGATATGAGACTGATGAGAAAAAAGAATACAAATAATATGTACAGAACGAGAACTCATAGACATTTATTTCTATTTTTGTCAAGGCTTCTATAAAGTACTAAATTACCCGATTCTCTATTGACATTTTTTTCTGATAAAAAACTCTTTTGACTGCAGCAATATTAAAAATTAATCTTTTGATCTTATGGCGAATTTTCGAATTAGACTATGGTTCTCGCTTAGTATGTTGAAATGAACTAAGATCTTTAAACTTCCCCTATGCAAATATCTCGATTGATCAATTCCAAACGAATATAGAGTCTGTTGCAAAGAATCTAATGATTCTTCATTGATTAAACTAAAACTCAATACATTAGAGTCTTCGCTTACCTTTCTCGTATGTTTATCAGGACAAATAATATATTCTGTATGGATATAAATGTGAAGATACTACTTTTATGTGTTATACACGGATACGTAGAAGAAAAAGGCGAAAGCCTTAACCACGCACGCACATCCAATTTAAAAAAATAACAAAAAAAGTGAGATATAATAACCATAACAAAAACAAGATGAAAAATTTAGTTGTTTATATGTGCAAAATAACATCTGTCTGTTTACATGAAACACCGAGCAGGAAGCACTGAAAAATATTGATTTACAGTAAATATAAAGATTGAAAGATACTCAAAACATACTTAGCAAGAAAAGAAAAACTGTTATCTATTGCAGTGGATCGAAATCTTTGAATCCATTTGTCGCTGAAGCTTGTATTGTTCGTAATGGACTACTTGTAAAACATGTGTTAGTAAAACACGAATTTGTCATCGTTGTTGATACTGGCATAAAATTAGCTGTTTGAGTTAGTATAGGTGAACACGAGGATGATGAACACGATGATGTTTTATTGTTATGTTTTGGATTAATTAATTGTTTCTGTTGTGAATAATCTTGACTATTAATATAATCCGGAACATAATCGTATAAATAATGAATATGTGAACCACTATTTGTTTTCGAACTACTATTAGTATTATTATTGTTAATATTTATTTCAGGTGTTGGATCGAAATAATGGGGGTCATGACTATTATTATTATTATTATTATTATTATTATTATTGTTATTATTATTTGTTCGATAAAAATATTTTTTTGATGACGAACGAGAGGAAGAAGATGATACCGGCGAGTAAGATTGCGTTAATGTCTGGTGTTGTTCAAACGGAATTCTCTTCTCTTCTGATATCTAAACAAAAATGGATAAAAAAAGAAAACTTTAAATAAATACTTTGCAAATAATAGTTTACCTGTGGTATAAAAGTACCGTTGCTGTTATCTGATGATTTTGTCGAATGAATTGAAAATGTTTTTATACCGTTATGTTGATCATTTTTTGACGGATGAACCCATAATGATGAGGTAGCCGTGTTATCTAAGGTTTCTATTCGACAATTAAATGTAGCTGCGTTTTCTGATATGGATTCAGATGACATTTCTTTATGACCGCTGTCAGGTGAATCACTTTGTTGTTGTACGATTGCCTTTGCGGTCGAAGATATGTCTGGTGATGAACACAATGGTATCATTAAATCGGTTGGGCGTTGATGTTTTGCAGGTGCGAGTAGTGCTGGCATAGGAGCACATTTAAAGAGCTAAAGGACAAACAAAATGAGTTATGAGAAAAAAATCATAAACTATACACTTTTCTATAGCATTCTCGAGAATGCTATAGAAAAGTGAGAGTATACAAGATCTTGTATACTCACTTTCAAACTATCAAATAGTTCATTATTTGTCGTATAGTCCAATTTCATTTCTAATTCATGTGTATAAACAATTAATTCCTGGATATGAGTCAGTAATGCCCGATTTTGTGTTAGTAATTGTGAGTTTTTATTCTGAAAGAGAAAGAGTAATGTAAATTTCGATGATGTCATTATTATTAAAGAATGCAAACTTGAGCATCAATTCTAGCTGTTTGTTCTAACATTAATTGTTCTTCAATTAGTTTTGCTTGTGTTACAGCTAATTCCCTTTCTTCATGCATATGATCCAATTGTTCATTTAAATATTGTATATGATGTTTTAAACTAACATTCGACGATTCAGAAATAAATGGTGTATTTACATCGACTGACTGAAAAAACAAATTTTTTTTGATAGAAATGTAAAGAAATCTATACTTAAATATATCATTTTACCGGAATATGTACACTTTGTAAATAACGTTCAGCCTTTTCTATTGGATCCATATTTGGAGCTAAATTTTCTCGTTCAAGTTTATTCAATTTACCTACAACAGACAAATATAAATTAAGATAGTAACTAACACGTCTAGAAAATTTACAACTATATGAAAATTTAATTCATCATAAAACATACCATTATTATCATTATTGTTATTATTTTTATTATTATTATCGCATAATGATGGTCTTGCTGAGATAAATTGTTTTTGCGTAGTTACTCCATTGTTGTTATTGCTATTACTACTGCTGTTCGTCGATGATTGTTTTGTTTGACTAGCCAACTTGTGACAAACTTCAAATGCTTGACCAATTGTTCGAACTATGCGCATGGCTTGATTCTAAACATAAAAATATACAGATAACTTATCTAGGAAAAAAAATTCTACTTGTTGAAAGTTTCATTTTAAACAATGAAAGTATTAGAAACTGTACATTGTTATAAGCCTCATTTGTACTTTCAATATTGTCATTTTGGACACTTTAAAAGCGTGAGAAAATCAGAAGAGAATCCACCCATCCAAAGTGTCCCATATAGTGAAATACGCACAATACTATCTATACTTCCTTATTCACTTTTTTAATCTCTTTTACCATCACATCGTATGAAAGAAAGAATATGCCTCGAGTAAGATTCGAACACACAACGGTAACTGTCACTGTCAACACTCTTGCAAATAAGCTATCGGGTTTGCATTAAAAAGAATTAATATATATAGGACATTATAACTTTTTCACTACTAATGATACGCGTCTTTTTCTATTTGCTTTGGACAAGTTGGATTCAACTTTTAATTAATTCATTTTGCTAGTCATTAAGTTGGTGTAAAAATCTGAAAATACGAGATTTGTTATTATTAGACTTTTAGTTAATAAAATTTCGGCTCCAAATGCTCAAAAACATGTCAACTTTTTGATTGATCTCTTATAATTTTAGTATGAATAAATAGAGGCGACAACGGGCTATGATAACGTTCGTATAAGATTTCAGTATCGAGCGTATTGTGAAAAATCGCTTGAATAAACCAAGTACGATTTTCGATCCGAAAATAAATATTTTTGAATACTACATCATTCGATGCTGTTTTTTATGTTGATTATGAATCTGCTTTTTGTTTTGAATAAAAGGAAATTACTTATTACACATTTAAATTGGATAAAAAGTCACTTAAAATTGACTTTTTTCCGGTTACTATATTTGCATATGTTTTTCTACAGTTTCTATTATAATCGAACCGTACATTTAGTTGCGATTGTTTCGTTTGTCTACAAATAAAAAACTGACATTTTTATCCTGGGTCAGCTGCCTCATCAGTATTTTTGATCCAAGCTACACAGAGATCTTCTATGAATATTCTCATAACCCGTTGTTGCCTCTATTCATTCTTACTAATTAAAAAACGGTAATTGAACTCCGGTAAAAAAAAAGACTAACCGATAATCAACGGCTTTTTATACGGACCGTAGTTATTGAAATAAGCGTCGGTTCGTCTGCTGGACCAGCGGTAGTCGGCGGTTATTTCGATAACCGCTGTTAACCGTCATTTTTCAATAAAAACCGACGACATGGGGGTATGATCCCTGAGCAAAAAACTAATAATTATGAGCTTTGCAGCAGTTTTAAAATCATAACTGGAAACCTTGTACGGTTTCAAAGCCATGACGAGGGACGCTAGGTATTTTTAAAACATAACCAGAGGCTGTAAAATCGTAAATAAGGCCCTGAATGATTTTAAGATCATCAATACATACCGAGAACGATTTTAAGATTATAGATGGGAGCTCTAAGGTTATCCACTAGGCAAACTTACGGTCATAATCAATGCCATTATTTATTTAATTAAGATCTACAAGGGACAAACAGTAAAAAGCCAACAAAAACATTAGGTTCTGAGTATATAACTTACACTCCTCCTTCTTCGGAAACTATTTGGATGAGTTCCAGAAAAGCTGGCATGTTTTTGAGCATTCGGAGTCGAACTTTTATTATTACTATCACTGAAAGTCTAATAAAGACTATATTCTCAGATTTGTACACCAACTTAATGACTAGCAAAATGGATTAATTAAAAGTCGAATTCGACTTGCTCGAAGCGAATAGAAACAGACACAGAAATATTTTTTCACGTTAAAAAATTGATATTCTGTTAGTGATACGACGTAAACTATTTCATTATTTATTCTAAAAAACATGAAATCTAGTTCTTGAAAAACTAATATTTGAGATTTTGTTTCTATGAAATGTGAAATACTCACTTGCAAATGATTATCACTGTCCGATGCATACCGATCGATGTCATTATTTTCATCACTCGTACAATTACTGTTAAAAGATCTAGATGACAAAGTGTCATTCGTATTATATGACCAGTTATCATACACCATGATATTTACTATCAACAATAGTAAAAAATAGAATAATGGGCAGAGAAAGTTTTTGTTGACAAAATATAAAAACAACTGAACAAGAACGAATATACTGTTTTCTATCCTTTTTTTTTCTGTTTCATAATCAAAATAAAAAAAACGGTTACAATAATATTTCTTTTTTTGTTTCTTCTCATTTTTTCTCATCTAGAATAATAATTATTCGTTTCCTGATTTAATAACATCATAGTATAGATACATAAAAAATCCAAGAAAAAAAAAACAGAACAAGAAAAGGAGAGTACCTCATTTCCTAATATAAATAAACTATCTCTGGGTATGTGTAGACACTACTACTCGATTTGCATTAAAAAATTCTTTATTCTATTTGCATATATTTATTAATGAACTTCTCTCTATATCTCATGATTCGTTACCCCCACTATATACTAGTAATTTAGTTTAGTTTTATAACAAACATACAAATCAGTCATTTCTCTCACTTATAGTCGGTCAAAATGCCAGAGAAAGAGAGAGAGAAAGTTGTACAAGTTGATCCCCAATAGATTGAAAAATTTTCTTTGAATAATTAGGAAAAAAACTATTTAAAATGCAGACAAAAAAATCCATATGGAATCATTTTTACAGAATGAAAAAGACAATGATTATTTCTGTTCAGCTACTCCGTAGAACAGAAAAAACTAAGAGATTCGTCTTTTTTTTGTTCATGTTGCTTGAGAAGTGCCCAATTATGCTGAAAGCACAGCGGTCATCTTCTCAACTGAATTTATGTTGTATGTAAAATGAACGCTGGTTTTGTTTTTATATAGTGTGCTATGTATCATCAGAAAAATCGAATAGTGTGTTTTGATAAAACTTTGAAGGATGACAGAGTTTAACGTTCTGCGTCTTTATTCAATTCAAATTATCTCATAAATTCTATGCAATTCTTCTTCTATCATACAAACTCAATGAGAGAATATTACATCGTTAACTTTAGAATTCAAGCACATATTACGTTTCAAAATATACAATTCTCAGAGTTATTGATGATTTAATTTAACATTCATGAGGATTAGTTACTTATTTAACGTTGTCAGCTTCTTTTGCTAGTATCTTTAATGTTATTTTTAAGATGCACGGAAAGCAGAGTTCGAGTGGAATTTAGATTTTGGGGATTTTCCAGAGGGTCTCTGGTGGTTGAGAAGTTTTGCCGATTCTAACTCCCTTCAAAAAGCACCAGAGACCCTCTGAAAACCCTGTGAAGCTCTCTACACTATCACCAGCAGATTCTCCATCATTTCTAACCCATTCTGCGTTATCAGAAATGACTTTGAAGCAAAACTCGCGAAAATAGTGCAAAAGGACTTGACCGTCTTTCGTCTTGGAGATGTGCTCAGTAAAAGTCGATTTTCTTAATGAAGAAAAAGAATTTCAAAAAAAGCTATTTATTAGTTTGAAGCCTAGCCTCTGGCGAATTCAACCATGTAAAAGTTTTGGCACTAGCTCCTTTGGGAAAACCTTGAATTAGGGCTGCAAAGTTTGATGCACGCTTTCAACACGTGCCGATTTTAGACACCATTTTCGGTCCTAGAAGTCTCAAAGTTGTTTTTCTAGATTCAGTTTTCAGCGCTGAATCTGAAACATTTAACCTCAAAACTCGAAAACGAAATCCGGAAACCTAGGGTCACTTTTTTGAAAACGTAGATTTTTAAGATTTTTGACATGCTCCAAGTATTCTGAGGATATCTCAGCGAGGAAACGGTTTTGAAAGCTGGAGATATTCGTGATCTTCATTCAATTCTCTATCGAATAATGTATAAACGAGCGAAATCTAAATACCGCTCGAACTCTGCTTTCCGTGCATCTTATCAGTAATCCCACATTGAAGACCGATGGCGAGAAAACTCGTCCTTGTAAATACGAACGTTGTGGACCAATGACGAGTTTTCTCTTTTTTGTGCACATGCGTAATATTGTCACAATTTTTGAGATAACGGTTTATTATTTTAATGGTTAATTTGTAGTAGAAAATAGTTGGTCTCTCCACTTTGTAGGTACGATATTTTACGGTCATCAATGTGATAAGATGACAAGATCGTTTTTAGACTTTTTTCTGAACAATTCACGTTCAGTTATTAATCGAAACCATGACAGTAGAAGTTAATTTACTCACTTTTTTATACGCTTTGAATACGTTACATCGAAATGCATTATTAGCACTATCTCTTGCAATAAAACTAAATATTTTCAAATCTTGACTATCATGAGATACATAAAATACTCTAAACATAAAGAAAAAATTTAACTTCAATTATTCAATTACATAGAAAGACTTACCGATAGATTGGATAATGCATTATCATTAATTTACTTTCATCAATCAAAGAACATTTCTATATAGACAGAAATAAATCATACATAAAAATAAACTTTTAGCAAGAAAATGCATTACTTTTTTATTTTTCCATAATGAAACTTTGATTCCTTCAACAGACACAGACAAATTCACTTTACGCTTTTTGACACTTTTGGCTTTGAATTCATACTAGAAACATACAAATAATATAAAATTAGTCAAGATAATAGCAAACTGAATTGATAAACGAATAAAATTTCACTTCATTATATCGAGAGATGCTCCAAAGCTCCAGTTATGTCAATGTTCACGTCTTCTTTTCACATCTCTTAGAAAAGACTGAAACTATTATCTATAAAACGAAATGATAGCTGCGTTTAACTTTTGATTGAAGATACCTAGAAATTCCCAGATTTTTATGACTTTTTAGCCAATTGGTCGATTCTGTATGTAAAAGAATAAGTTTAAAATCTTTCGTAAAACTACTCTTTCCCGAAGATCTTTAGAAAATCATGGTGTTTTAGGATATGCGTTTTCGAATACAGTCAATACAATGAATACAGTCAATACAACGAATACAGCTCGAAATGCCTCTTACACACGCAAGCAAATCCACTTCTAGATGCTCATCAATCTTTTTAAGAACCTCCGAATCAACCGTGAGAAGTATCTTGAAAAAAACATAAGTTATTGATCTTCTGGAATCCCATTGCAATATTTTTTCTCGAAGGAGTAACGAAAATTGCAGCTATCTGTTAAGATGAATACACCCGGGGGAGGGGAGGCGGTTAAAAAATAAGTCAAAATCAAGGCTTTTTGAGTATAAAACTTCTGCTCCTTCTCCTTTGGAGATACTGAAGGGGTTTCACAAAACCTAGTGAATATGAGTATTGAGCAAAATTTCTTAACTCATTTTAGCGATAAGTACACAGAATAAACGTTTCATTCAAAATCCATCCGTACCACTTGAGATATTCACAACATGACCAGATAACTCGACTCATCCCTTAACAGACCAAAATAATTTTAAATTCGTCTTTTCTCTAAAGAGGGTAGTTTTCTAGACAACTCCTTAAAACTCAAGAATAATACAAAAAAAGGTTTTTACTCTTCTATCCCAGTTTACATGTAATTTAGATAAAAACAGAGTTTAGAAGTTATTAGAAAAAGAACGGGAGTCATTTCTTTACTTTATAGATAATACCAGAAGCGCAAACTTCGATCTGAAGGTAAATTGTTAATCAAAATTCTGTTGTCTCAAATTTTCTTACTCTAATTCGTCGCATTGCTGCTACAATTTCCACGCGACTACTGGGTTTTGGAACATCCAGTGAACCGATAAACTAAAATAAGCAATAGAAAAGCGATAATTGATACGTTTGAGGAAGGTCATTGAATTTTAAGTTTTAAATCTTTTACTCTTCTACAATTTTGTCTGATGAAGACTTCATTGAAGTTGAAACTATGATTCCTAATTACATAAAATTGTGAATAAATCATAGGAAGAGCAATAGATAGATTTAAAACTTTAAAACAAGCAAAAAAGTGATAAGAGAAAAATAAATGTTAAAAAGATAGACTTACTTTTGCATTGAATTGAATACCATGTTGAAATGCTTCGTCGTTATGCAACGGAATTTTACTATCATAACCATCTTCGGACATCGGATCATAATCTTTTATTTTCGATGGCATTACCAGCGATCTTAAAATAAACGAAAAACAGGAGTCAGACAAGAACAATTCACATACGGGAGGAAGACGACAAACAACGAATCAATTGAAACGGTCTTAAACCTTCTGTGTCACTAATTTACTACAGCGATAATCAATATTTGTAGTAGTGTAGACAAAATGAGTGAGAAGTTAGTGCATTCAATCTATCAATCAGAATAATTGGTCAACAAATAAGAGAACTAATTGAAACAAGCCAAGACAAAAATGGATGTCAGGATCGAAATGGAAAAAATAAGACAGTCAAACATTCTGTTAGATGTATCGATATAGTACGAAGAGACATGATGCCCTCATCTATATACAACAAAAAATTGAGAATATACTATATGTCAATAAAATATCATTTTTCTCGCTTTAAAATTGTATTTTTTTCAATAACTAGTTATATTGCAGGAGAAATGGTTCTGTCGTTTTGGAAAATCTTGTCGTTTTGAGCATCATTTTCTCTATTTTGGTTCCAACAGAGCTTAAATTTTGGTAAAAAGTCCATTTTTACGTGATTTCAATTACATGATTTGGACAGAGTTGAATCATTCTTTTGAATGTGATTCTTTTAAATAGTCTTATAAGAGCAACTAACAGTAGACAAAAGACCTCGATTAAAATTTGAAAATTACAGAACACTTGTGTGTAACTTTCTCGGTGGAACAGCCAAAAAATTCGTTACTCAACACAAATTCTTCTCAGCTGTTATGTCGAAAATATTGTCAGTAAGTTTTATAAGAAAAATTTCTTAATATACTTTTGTTTTACATTCGATAACTCAAGTCATTCAACAAAGAAGAATGACTCACGAGGGAACCTCACCAAGTGATTTCTCGGCTTTTTCTCGGAATATACTTTATAACAGGTAAATAAAAGCTGAAAAGTTTAGATTTTCCGTTAAATTAAGACCAGCAAGATTTATAATTCTACAGAAATTGATGTCTTAATCCCAAAAACTTACTTATCTCTATGAGTAAACACAATATGACCCTACGACCTGAAAGAGAGAGAGAGAGAATAGGACAGAAGGAACGCGAAGCACAAAACAACACTATACAGTTGCTGGCATCGAACACTAAGACTGTGAATTTTAAAGAATCAAATTTACAGTTGGACTCAATTATCCAAAAGTAAACTTGGGGTATTCGATTTCTCATCCTGTACACTACTATGTTCTACGCCTACTGCTCAACCCACATAGCTTATAATCTTAGACCTCACAGCTTTAGAATGTGTCCTATCAGGGTTCTCTAGAAATCCGATTTCTGTAGGTTCATCCAAGAAGGACTTATGAGGACAAACAATAATTAAGTTCGCAATCAGCATCAGAAACTACCTGTTATTAAACGTGTCAACCAATAAGCCGCAGGTGCCGATGAAAAATCTTGAGAAGTTTTGTAGTTGCTTTTTGTAGAAATTGCACATAAGGCAAAAAGAAACATTCAGTCGCCGCCAAAGGCGAAAAAATTTTAAGATTCTTCCAGCTGCCACCGTCGATCGGAAAAATGTCTTAGCCAGCCACCGCTGACCAAATGATCGATTGACACCTCTACCTGTAATAAAGTGTATTCCAAGGAAAACCCGAGAAATTACTTGGTGAGGTTGCCTCATCAGAAAATAGCGAACAAAGATAATTTTTTTTTGAGAAATATAAGATGGATTTTGCGTTAGACATAAGCTTAGTCAGACTTTCTGTTTTACAATTCAGCAGATGGAAGTAAGTAAACGCTTAATTATTCTATCATCATATCGATTACTTTACAATTGTTATGCATAAATAAAAAAAATTTCCTACGCGCTTGATTAACTCCTTTACTAACGTGTAGAGCCGCAGCTAATGTGTAAGAACTTTTAAGGACAAGATAGGCTACAATGAAAATGAGTCAATATATTATATTTGAGAGACGTTGGTATTGTCATTTTTGCTTATCAATTTTGACGAACTCCTAGTTTTCTGATTAATTTTTATTTGTAAAAGAAAAGCGAATCGAAGATCTTGGTTATTGACTTTGTTATGAGTAAAGTATAAAATTGGCGGAAGTTTACATTTCCAGACTAAAATCTCTAGTCTAAAAGATGATTATCGATCAATAAGCAAAATTTAAATCCAATTCTTCTCCTATCTTATTCTATTCGACCTATCAATTAAATTCTTTCCCCCTGATATACAGGGTTGAAACAATATGACGTAAAAATTAAGCATGAAATTCTACAACCAAAAACATACGTTGGTTGTAGACTTTTACGCTAATCTTTTTATGTCTAACTTATCGCGACGGACTAACTCTAAACGAAAATTCTGTAAGAAATTCGAAACTCTTGTTCTACATTGAATTTCTTTGGAAGTTCTGTGCAAGTCTCGATGAAATCCCGTCCATACTAATCTTGCCCATCGCATAAACAAAACCATGGAATGCATAAATACTAACTAGAATCTTCAAAAATTAACGAAAAAAGTTAAAAAACTTCATATGACCTTCATGAGAATACCTCGAGGTTTTTAATGCGATTCTCGAATAGAGAGTGTATGGTAAATAGAAATCTATTTTTATAAATGAATCTATACATTTGCTGGGAAATAGAAATCTCCGTTAATTTCTTGAAGAAGTATACTTTCCAGAACTAATATATATATTTAGTTTTTTTTCACTAGCAAACATGAATGTTTCCTTGTTGATCCATTCCCTAGTTTTGTATTTTCTTCATAACACTGCCACTTCACTTCGTCTGCTCGATGGAAATAGAAACAGACGATGTTATATAGTTCATTATGTATTATTTCTGTAAAAGATATTCATTATATTGAATAAACTAATCGAATGCCAAAACTGAGCAAAATTTTGGTAATATTTTCATGATCTATTCCAAGAACTAAGCTAATCTATAGTAGCCAAACTTCGTCCTCATCTCTTGACTAGATAAAATATCATTTTTATACGCTGCACACACACACACACAAAATAAAATCAATTTATCAATACACTTTTCTTATATTTATCTAATATCTCGTGCAATGATTTTAACAAACTTAATAAGTGTCATAAAACAAAATAGACAAATACATTCTCATTGATTCACGCAATTTAATTGATTTTTGACCTTTTATACTCCAACGGATTTAATATAAACATGAATCACTTAATAATGAGAACGATATAGCGTCTGGTAGAAAAGATAAAATAAAATAATGCTAGTCTACCATGGTTCTTGACACTTAAAATTGTGATCAACGATTAGTGATTTGTTCTACATCCTCAATAGTTTTTAACAGAAAATAAATGATCAGAAAATGTATACAAAGTTATTTGTTTCAAAAAACATAACATTAAAACTAGACTATTCTACTTACTTGAGTTGTATCGATTAAAACGATTTTTATTTATATTCCCTATGTCATATAATTAACCACCAATGGAGAGTCGAATTTTAAGTGGAGTAAGTGAAATAAAAAATGTACGTAATAAAGACGCTAATATATAATCATAAACCCGTATATATATATATATATATATATATACATCCAACCATTCTCTATGGTTCATATCTCTCACATTTGAAGTACATCTATTTAAGAGAAATATTTTGTTAATTTATGATTTAAATCATTTTTTAATACATATCAATGATCTATCTTTAAACATGTGTATAGCTCTTATTCACATATATCAATTCTCTATACTCAAAATAATAGAAGTGAAATTTTTTGCGAGATACAATGACAAGTTATTAAACAATTTCATATAACACATTATTATGATGTCGAACACTAATCATTTTACGAATATAAAAATGATATTACGATTGATATTTGATAGTCAGTTTAATAAGGTTATTAACATTTTTCACCTCAAAATCGGATATTAACCCATTAAACTAGCAAGTGAAGAAGATATCAATTAATAAGATAGATGCTCAAAAAAAATGTTATAAAAATTTATATATGAAACTTTGAGAATTACAGTTTAACAACTAAAAGAAAATGTTGATATTGTAAGATCATTTAATCACAAAAACTAACACCACGAATTATATCTCATACCTTTAAATCTGATAAAATTTAGTCTAAAGACAAAGAAATGTCTTCTTTTTTTCTTTTTTAAAAAAAAGTTTAAATGAAAAAAAAATTTTGATGTTGATTTAATACATTTATTTTCTTGTAGAAGTGAAGATAGATGTGTACAACAAAGTAAAAGAAATTGAACATATAATAAAACGCAAGAGAAAAAAAGAGAAAAGTCATTGTCTTCTGTATATTTGATTAAATACATATATCTGTGTGCTTTTAAAAGTAACCACTATTATCGTTCTTATTTGACATTCAATCATGTTCAAAACGATTACCACCAATAATATACGCATTGTTTTCTATGACATAACGTTTGTAGTCTTTCAATGACCTCGATTCTTTCTCTTTTTTTTCTTCTTCTTCTAAACAATATATAAGAACATAGAGAAAAATTGCTTCGCTTTCATCATCACAACTCAAGTTCTAATATGAGAGAGAAAAAGTTCCAAAAGAAATCTAATGATTATATTCTATTTGTTACGAATTTGAAGAAAAAAAAAATTCGATCATAAAACAAATATTTTTTTTTTTTAGAATGAAAATATTTATTGATGAACCATGATGACTAATATGAAATAATAATTTTTCACTTGAAATATTATTAACAAAGTCTGACAACCTCAATCCTATAAAAATTAATAGAAAAGTATAGTCTATAATTACCGTTCAACATCAATGGATACTATAGTAATGTATAAAATAAAACTTGCATGACTTGAATTATAGGTAACACAAAAAAATGAAGAAAAAAAAGTGTAATATATTGCTTAATTTTGTTATTAGACTTGATTATATGTGTATAATATGAATGAGTGCGATATGAGATGAAGATTAAATATATATATATATATTACTTTTATTATTTATTACATGACGAACAATTATTATTGGTTTATGCTATTTATAT